CCTAATTTTCTGAAGCACCAATAAGATCTGAGTAGCAATCATTTAGCTCAAGAGTAGAAGCATCTCTTATTGATATGACATTGTGAGCAATGAAGTCCTGTAGCTTAGTGGTTAGAGCACTCGCCTTGCAAGCAAGAGGACCTAGGTTTGACTTCTGGGCAGGGCAAAACACTGGGCAAGTTTCCTAACTCCACGTGCCTCTGTTCACCTAGCAGTAAGTAGGAACCCAGTTGATAGTCGATTGGCGGATCGCTTTTCCAGGGATAATAATCCCTTCAAAAAAAATTATAATAATAATTTGGCCAGTTAATCCATAACTGTTTGTGAGACACTAATAAGACTAATTTATTATATAATGAGGTCACTACTTTGAGACACCAGTGGCTAAATGTATTCTGCTGTATAAATGTATCATACAGGCATAAAAATTTCACTGTCCACTTTCTAAATTACAGCAGCAGCGGCCAGGAGATGTGCTTGAATTGAGACAAATATGCTTATGTCTTCTTCCAGGTTTGCTTCTGTGATTTAGGTAGTGGCTAAATATGTGATGTAATGACCTCAAACGAACACAAATGTGCAAAATGAAAATCCTGGAATGAGCTTTTCAAATAGGTGCAATGAGCATCGATCAATGATTCATGATACCTTTTCATCTTAATTCTATTTTGCAAAAAAAAACTTATTTGATCTTTTATTTCATGTGAACAACTGGAAAACAAGTCTCTGAAAAGTTCCAAAAGTGAAATGAAAATAAAAAACAAGCCAGAAAATGATCCTAATTTCAGACCTACAAACAGCATTTTTGTCCTCAAAGGCTCAAGTGTTAAGTTCAATAAAAACAGTACCTTTCTTGACAGCAGTCAGGGTGATTTTCAAACTGTTTTTCTGAAATCTATTCAGTCACAAATCACACTCTAAAACCATATTATTGAAAATAAAGGGCAATAAGTTTCCCAATTGAGTTCAGCACATCTTGCATTACCAATGAGTGTGAGTGGACATAGTCAGTTACATAATAAATTGCATTGTGAAACATACTTGCAAATATACTTTTTTTAACTAATGTTTTAAACAAATCTTAAAATGAACAACACTGAAGGGGTCACAAGATCTCAAGATCAGTTTGGGTGAGGAAGGCTCTTTGGCCCATCTCATCCCATCCCATCAGAATACCCACCCTATCGTCCTCTCATCATTGCCAAGCTGCTTTTTAAATGAATCCTGTGTCGTGGCCTCAACCACCCTTCCTTGCAACCTGCCAACAATTAAAAGAATGAAACAAACGGATGCAAGAATTTGACATCTAAGCTTTGGAACAAATGCTCTGCTCAATCTGAACTTTGGACTTGGAGACAGACAGTCAACTGGAAAGCAATAATATCATTGCTTGAAAAAACAGAGGACATGGGCTTAAGCCATCGTTAGGTGACCTATATGGTGAATATATCTGTTGTCAGCAAGAAAAAAAATTTAGATCAGTAGATTAACATTTGGTTTATGTGCGTGAGCAGGTTTGTGTGTACTTAAAACTGTAATACTCAGCAAAAAGAAAGCTTTTGAAGTTTCTTTAAATTAAGTTTTCGCTTTGGCCTTAGAAATTTATTTAGCAAATAATTGCACTTTTTGTAATAATAATAATCCTTGCATTTGATATAGCGCCTTATCTAGTTTTTGAAATGTCTCAAACTCTTCACAAAATACTGTAAAGTGCATATAAAAGCACTATATCAAATGCAAGGATTATTATAATAATAATAGTAATAATCCTTGCATTTGATATAGGGCTTTTCACGTCTTCTAGATGTCTCAAAGCGCTTCACGGAATACACTGTAAAGTGAATTGACTGTATATTTTGTGGGCGAATCGTGGCAGCCAATTCCCACAGCAGTGTCCCACAAACAGTTGTGGATTGAGTGACCAAATTATTATTATTATTTTTCTTTCTTGAGGGGATTATTATCAAACGTGTAGAGTAAGGAAACTTGCCCAAGGTTTCAACCTGCCGGGAATGGAACCCAGGTCTCTCGCATACCAGGCGAATAATTAATTATTATTAATTATAATAATTAATTCTATAATAATAATAATTATTATAATGGAATAATTTCAAACGTTCAGCCAAAATAGGACTCCATCCTATTCAACAAGTGGTACCGTACTATCTTGGAGTTTAAAATAGAGTAAAACATCAGATAACTAACTCACAAGTAATTTTGGGAGAGTGGTTTGGCCCAACATCTGAAAACTGACAACACAGTAAAGTTTATATAAAAGTGTCCGATTTAGTTTTTCCAGTTAGATTAATTCTAGTATTGATTTGAATTCACTTTTTTTATCATTAATTACAGTGGATGTGCTAATTAGTTTGATTGGGACATGTATTTTCCTGATTTTGCATGTTTTTAACTGTAATGTATCCAAGGATACGTTAGAAAACTGATCCAGAAGTACAATTTACCATGAATAAGCGCTCATTGGTGCGCTGTTAGCTAAGCCACCCGGACAGAAGAGGTGGCTTTCCACTTGTACAGATGCACACTGGCTGATGCATAAAAAGAGATGTTGTACAGTCACAATACAAAGTATCAACTTTTCAAGTTAGGAACAAATTTGGTGTCTTCTCAACCACTATTCACATTTTAATGAACAATTTCTTAACTCTGCAATTATTGAAAATCAAGCTGGCAGCAGGAGACTAATGAGCTTTATGAGTATGTACATGTGTACATGTCTTTTGTCTCCCAGAAAAATGATAATACATGCTGACATTAAAATGTGGCTCACTTGCATTTAAGTGAAAATAAATCTAATATCACATGTCTCAATGTGATATAAAATTGGCATCAATGTACTCATTTTCTTCTCTCCCCTATTTTGTCCTTTTACTTCTCCCATTATAAGGCTGCATTTGGAGATGAACATTTGATTCTTTGCTATTAGTTTGGAGATTTTCCATATATTTTCTTCCAATGAAAACTATGGCTTCAAATCAGTTAATCACACTGCGCACTGCTATGTGCAATCTTTATCTTATGCACGGAATCATGTCAATCTCACCAGGTTTGTATATTTGGTTTGCAGATTTGATTGTTGAAAGACATGTGTTCTTCTTGACCACTTTTGATAATGTTTCATCAGTGACCACAGGAATCTTTTTCAATCACTCAGATTGGGATTGAACAGTAGTATCTCCATGCTTCTATTACTAATAGATTATATTAAAAAGTTTTTGCAAAGTCTTCCATGTTCAGACGGTCCTCAGGAAAGTGTAGATTTCAAAACCAAGTCACATCTTCTTGGATTCTACAATACCCTTAAGGGTGTCAATCAGCTACTCCTGAAATGTTAACTAAATGCATCATAAAAACATATCTAAAAGTGTTAGTGATCATTGTCCATGTATTTATGCTGATGCTATAAGAACATTGTATAAATACTGCTTTCTACAATATTTAATGTTGAAGATATTGTTGGACAGTTAGTTTTGTTTCTACAGGTCCTGAACTTAATTCAAATTCAGTATGGATTTTTATCCAAGGAGATTCTGATGCTTCCCTGTATATGTGTAGAAATATATTTACTTTCTGGGTCAATAACCTGCTGATGGACATCATCCCTTTTTGATTCACAATATCCAATCACACAATTTTTATTTGATTGATCATACACATCCTTCCAGTCAAACAACCCTATTTTCATGCACCAACTACCCAGCTCAATGTCACAGTACAATGCATCACATGCCAACTGCTATCAGTACTGATTTTTTTGTTTCTTGTTGACAATCAGAAACCCCATTACAAGCACATAGTTATAAACACTTTACCATTTGGCACATGATATATCCCAGTATATGGAAACCCAGCAATAGCTGAAAAGATGATTTCAAGCTACAAGAAGATTGAGAAATGACAGGTGTGTTGAAGATGTGGTTGAGTGAAGCACATTCTCCTGATTCTGCTACTCGGTTGAGTAAAGTTACATTTTGATAGCTAGTGACTGCAATACAGGGAAATGTTTAAGGAATTTTCACTGGTGGGAATGAACTCAAAGGGGCACTTTTATACTACATCCAGAAACATTAAGTGAGTATAAAATATATAAAATAGTCCAATGTTACAGTATCTTTAGCTGGCATGTTCCAGATAACTGTGGACAGTCTGAATGAGGACTCGTGACCTATGGCGACTGCTTATAAAATCGTAATTACTTTTATTATTATGGAAGGATAATTTACTGGTGGGGAATTTTGAAATTACTGCTGGAGATTCCTAGGTGGGGTGTTTGTTTCCCCACCACTTTATATGTTGAAAAATGCCCTGTAGCAATATCAAATAGCTTTCAATTCTGCTCAAATTCACAGCTGGTGATAGACCTGTAGAGAGGAAACCTACTAATTTTGAAAATTCATGCAAGGAGTCAAAAGTGACAGGAATTTGTAAGACTTTAACTATAAGTTTTACTGCAATTACAAATTTTGGTTATAGGCTAACCAAGATGCTTTTATATTGCAACCCGACTCCTTCGTGTTTCAGTACTTGACTTGGCAACTTAGAAATGGAAAGAATAGAAATGGAGGGAAACTAATGTCAACTTCCCTCCACAACATCCAACTTGGGGCAACCAAATCAGATGTTCTGAGCCTTTAATTTGAGGTATTCTATCGATATATATATCCTGGGGACAATTCAAGTGTATTGAAATAGTCAAATGGTTATCAACAATTTTTTTTCAATGAAAAATGAATTATATGCTGGATCTGCAAAGGTATCACAAAGGGTAATATCTTTGAATGATCCTATTGAAATCCAAGAGTTTCTGGCTTGCCTGCAGAAATTTCTAACAGTTCACTCTTTAAGCAATACAAACAGAACATCAAAGATTCAAAGACTGGAACAAGTTTCATGTACGGAGTGAAAATATGTTTTTGTAATTCATCAATACCTGTCATAAAGAGAAGCTAGAGGGAAGCTTTTTTTAAAAAATGTTTACTCACTTTTCTAATTCTGCTATCCTTTTATCCTTATCATTCTTCTCATTCTCCATCTCCCTCAGGATCTCAAGTAGCCTGTCCACTTCTGCCTGGGTTTTGCTGGCCTCGTCCCGATACTGCGCTACCTCATTCTCCAACTGTTGGATCTGATCATTAAAATCTGTGTTGGCCCGTGTTTCAGTTGTGGCCTCATGCATCTGTGAAAAAAAGTTAATCAAATAACTTCACAAACACATTCAACAGAAAGCACATAGCTATAACCAAAACTACAATAACTTGAACACACTATGATTTATTGTGGATGAGCATAAATGACCCTGCGACAATACTCAATCCACGACTGTTTGCGGGACACAGCTGTGTGCAATTGGCTACTGAGATTCACCCACACAATATACAATCAATTCACTTTACGCTATATTCTGTGAAGCACTTTGAGACGTCTCAATGACCTGATAAGGCGCTTTATCAAATGCAAGGATTATTATGTATTAAAACAAAGGGAACATTGAAACTCCCTTTGACCGAGTTTCCAACATAAGTTTTTTTGCTAGAATTGGCAAATTAGCTTCAAGAACTGAAAAACATTTCAAAGAAAGCAGTTTGCGCACGATGATAAAAACAAAAGGCTATCTGCAGGAGAGAGATGAGTAGCATTCAGCAGGAACCATTTTCTGCCTTTATGTCATTCACTTCTCATAAGGTTGCCTGACAACCCTTAAGGATTTGATAGATATTTTGCAGAACCTTCCCTTCTAAGATTACATTTGATGGGTACAGTATCAATAAAGTGAATTGTATTTTGTCTGTGGGTTAAATAGGATAAATAACATTTTTGCTCATTTCCCTGCTATTTTATTTTTTAATGACCAAGAACAATGTTCTTAAGATGGCTGATTCACTTCCAATCCAAACAAACTTTTCAAAAGCCATACATCATCTGGTGAATACCAGAGGCATTAGCTGTTGTTTGTACACCAATACAGCCAATAACACCAAGGTTGGTGACTGACGGATTTAAGTCATCACCATTTTAGCAGATTCAAAGGCAATCACAGCCTTCATCTAAATAAGTACCTTTGGAAAATCTGAAATACATTTTAAGATACCATCTATTGTAAAATTACCACAGCCAAAGTGTCTACTGCCACTTTTACCATCACTGAATATGTTACAGTATTACCAGCAAGATATTTGCAATGTGCAGCACGGCTCACTGCCTACGGATATATATACTCTGTATGAACAAGGCAACACACTAAGTGTAAAGCTAGAATAACAAATTAAAGGGTAACAGCCTTAATGTTGTCACTTTCAGTGCCATCTCCAATCAGAGAATTAATGATCTGTTGTGAAGCAGAGCAGTTTGCACAGGCTGGTGCTAGACAGAAAGCCACTGGGATCTTCAAACAGGAAGCACTGGGCTTCTGCTACTCATCTGGTGAATAACTCAGGAGCGTATGTTCCTTGCAGTCTCTGGGGAGTCTGTCCCTATGCTCTCCATCATTTACAAATGTAGATATTATAGAACAGATGTCAAGAATTCTTTACCCATAGAACAGACGTTCATATGCCATGCCTTTTCTTTTCCATACCATCATATGCCTCCTTTCACCTTCATGAAAATATGTCATCTATAGCTGTCAGTTTGTCATACAATTCATAATAAGCATAGAGACTGCAGACACATCACTCAATTTATGACACTTTGACAAGACATCTTGACAATTGTTTTGACTAGTCAAATCACCTCAACGCTCATTTTGTCTTCAGTCCACTCTAGATGCCAGTCAACATGCTAATGCTAATATCTCACTTTACAATGACATTGGGTAAGAGAAATTAAAGATAGGAAAGCACCAATCTGCATCCGTCCTCTGGAACTCCATCCCGCAGTCCCTCCGTCTCGCCCCCTTCCTTCGCCACCTTCAAGACCCACCTCAAGACCCTCCTCTTCGACCACCCTTTTGATCTCCCTGCTTTCCCCCCCTCCCTCACCCCGACCTCAGCTCGGATCCGTAACTCTGTCTGGCCAGGGGACATCCTTCCGATGTGAAAGGTGCTATATAAATATAATTTTGTTGTTGTTGTCTTAACAGGAACTTTTATTGCATGATGCATAAGTGAGTGAGTAAAGTTTTCACCAACATGATGAGAACTCACTATGTTGGGCATAACCCACGTCCTACTATTCCTTACGTGAACAAGCTTTGGTGAATTTTTTTTTAACCTTTTAGTGATAAAACTAATGAAATTTTCTATTTACTTAAGTATAAACAAAATAAATGTAGGCCACCCAATAGGGATAACCACCTATGGCTCCAACATTAAAATGCATCATACACAAACTTTACGTGGGTTAAATTGGTACAGAAAGAATCCTAGAATTGTACAGTAACAAAAGGACATATTTAACACATTGAACCTCATCTCTGAAAATTAGTCCAATTACTCTTGCCTTTCCCAGTATAGCACAATCTTCTTCCCCCATATTATGCAGTGTTTTGGGACTATAACATTAGGCAGAGTGTTCTAACAAATGTGAAAAAAATGGTCTGGAGTCTCACATCTAAACTGTCACTTCCAGGTTCTGAGGGAGATTGGGAGGGAGACTGCGCATGTGCCATCATCATTCTTTCAAGTGTATCCTGTCGTAGTCATCCAGAACTCTGCAGCCCATATCCTCTCCTGCACCTGCTCCATGAGCCTGTCACGACTATCTTCATTTGGCTCCACTAGTTTTGCAAGATTCTCAACCTTACTTTCAAATCTCCCCACACCCTACCTCTGCGTTCCTTTGGACCGTGCTGCTCTGCCTCTCCTTTTGCTGAGCAAACGACAACTGTACGTCTCTCACTCCACCATAGATGGATGAGCTTTCTGCCATTCTGCCTCCACTCTCAAGAATTCCATCCACCTTGCCTTCTCCCTCCCCATCCACCTTCAAAACCTGCATTAAGATCAGACTCTTTGACATGCTTTTTCTCAAGTTTCTGTTTGTCTATCTTAGCAATAATAATAATAATCCTTGCATTTGATATAGCGCTTTTCATGTCTTCTAGATGTCTCAAAGCGCTTCACAGAATATGCTATAAAGTGAATTGACTGTGTATTTGTGGGTGAAACGCGGCAGCCAATTGCGCACAGCAGTTTCCCACAAACAGTCATGGATTGAAAATGATCAATTTATTATTGTTTTGTTTTGGAGGGATTATTATTATTATTAGGCGTGTGGATTAAGGAAACTTAAGTTTCGCCCTGCCTGGAATTGAACCCAGGTGTCTCGCTTGCAAGGCGAGTGCTCTAACCACTGAGCTACAGGACAAATAAAACTTAGGTACAGCAAAGAGAGCCACAACAGAAAGCCAAACAAAGCCATTACCACAATATATTGAACAGCAATGCATAAATAATTAAAATATATTGGAGGGTAAGGTGATGAAAGCTGCAATGTGGGTTTGATTGGGATATGAAATAAGGAATGTGTGTCTGATAACATGCATCTTCAACTGTGGCTGTAATTTGAAAATATTATATAAAGAACATGTAAACATGCAGTCCTGATATCCGTTTATGTAATGTTGAGGTGGTTAAAGTAATGCTTCGAAAATTGTCTCATCATGGTATTATTGTCGAGTTAAAAGTATTTCAAATAATTCATCAACATTACATTTGATAACATGTTAATGATAATTTCTATACCGTGCATACAAAGGATTATTTTCCTCATGGCAAGTTTTGCAGAGATTGTCTCTACTTTATTTCATTTTGGTGCCTCCGATTCATAACTCATCTACCTGGGCTGGAGATTTAATCACATTAAAACAACACTGGCTGTTACGAAGCACACTTCGCAGAACAAGTTGAACATAATTTCCTCCCCGCTGATTAATTTCTTTCCTGACATGGGAAGCTCCAGCGCTAACAATTAAATCAACTAAGCTGCTTAACAAAGAACGAGCACAGGTAGTTGAGTTTAATGAGTTTCAACAGTGGGATATCTATTCAAGACTCTTCCAAACAGAAGAATCGGTGATTCCACCATTAAGAATTACAAACTGGTCTGTATCACTTAATTGTGGTTTAATTCCTACCTTTAAAAAAGTAAAATGATTTCACTCAAACTTGTAAGTACTGGAAAAAATTACAGAAATACTTTTAATATGTATGAGAGACAAGATGGCACCAACTTCTAACCATCCATTCTTGTTTTATTTAGTATTTTTTAGCAAGTAAACTATGTTGAGGTGGCAAAAAACAGCTGTTCAATTTCTTTCTATAAAAAAAACAAGGAAAATATATTTATGTAACAGGTCTGAATGTCTTCAGCACAGTATCGAAAAACAAATAAAAGGAAGCCAGGTATACTAAAAAGAATGTTTATTGCTATATGTCCTTCTTCAATTTAATAAGCAAGCTTTTACCAAGTTGTATCAAGACAGCCAAACACAGCACTAGATTGCATGAGTCTGGCTTGAATCTGCAATAGTCCTACAATAATCTTAGTTAACCAATTTTACAAATGTGGATTCTTAACGTGTCCTTCCCTCCTTTCCCATGCACCCCTCCCTCATAAAGTTCCGCAATCTCCTTATTCGACACACATGCCTCGGTTTACGTAGCATTAAGTAGGAACCCGGTTGTTAGTTGATGGGCAGAGCATTTTCCTGGGGTAATAATCCCTTCAAAATAATAAAATAATAACAATTTGGTCACTCAATCCACAACTGTTTGTGGGACACTGCTGTTCGCATTGGCTGCCATGTTTTGCCCACAAAATATATAATCAATTCACTTTACAGTATATTCTGTGAAGCGCTTTGAGACATCTCAATGACATGATAAGGTGCTATATCAAATGCAAGGATTATTATTATTATTTTGTAAACTACAAAAACTTTGACATTGAGAACTATTCTAAAGTATGAAAGCTGAGAGTGTAAGCTGTCAGGCAGGCTCAGGCGGTAATCTCATCTGAGAAGGTTCAAACGCATATCCAGATTTTAACTCATATGACAATCTAATGTCAGATGAAACATTAAACTGAGTTCCTGTCCATTTAAGTGATGTTAAAGATCCCATTGCACTATTCAAAAAGAGACGGAGTCTCTCCTGAGGCTTGGCCAACGATATCCTCAAATAAATTTGGTCATTCATTTCAAGGCTGTTTGTGGATCACTTTGACATCGCTGTGAAT